AGTTGCAGCGGTCATGGTACCTATCGGTTTGATAGGAGCTGGTACGTTGCTCGGTGTTGCAAAAAATTTCTCATTTAATCCTGAACGTCTTCTGCTCAGTTTCCGCTTGCGCCAAATCTCAGTCGGAATTATTATTTTATACATTATATTCTTCTTTGTTCTGTGGTATTTCAATATATTAAATGTTCGCCGTCGTTACATTAAGCAGCTGTTGATTATTACGAGTATTTGTCTTCTAACGGACGCTATATATGTACTCGCTGGCTCAATACCCTTCCTTTTCTCTCCACTCAATGCAAACGAATTTTGGTTCTATGCAGGTCATTTAATACCAATCTTTATTGCTCTTCTTACATGGTCTCTCCTTTATTGGCGGAAAATACCATCTCATTCTAATAACATGGACGACCATCGCGAGAATGACGAAGAAACATTTTTACCATCTTCTAAAACCTAACTGATCGTTTACTACTATTGATTTTTGATACTATTTCTAGTGCTTAGATAGCTATGATTATAAGCATTCGCATTTATATACTCTCATACGATTGTGCGAACAGAAAAACTATTTCTATTTCTATATGCCAAGAATAATAGTTCTTAACGTTAACCTCACTATATTTGAATGTTTTTTTCCATAATAATAATCCGACATGTTTTGCTTTCTCTGTCATATCTATTTATATTCGAAAAGAATACAAAAGTTTTTAAGAGATGAGTTTAATAACTTTTAACGTACTTTGAAGTATTCTGCATGATGAAAAAATATGATTCAAAAACAAAGTTTTATCTTCTTTCCAACCATCAATTCGCATAATTAGTGTTTTGCCTTTATTCGAAAGTTGCATGAGACTGCCTTTGAAAACACTCGGAATTCAGTCTTAATAGTAGATAAACTAGGCTTTTTCAAAAAGAAAAAGATAATTTTTAAGATTTCTATACTAGGTTTACAGATCATTGCAAATGTGAATTATCTACTGCCATTTTTTTTCATTGATATGTCACAGCCAAATTCCAATAATATTGTTGTAATAAGTTGATTTGAATTTTTATTCTAATATTTGTTATAGTATTTCGATTGGTTGCCTCCATAAACGCCATCACGTTGATTCAGATATCTTTGTGATGATTCTAGTTCCAATGTTACTTCGTTATAATAATGATTCATTGTTGGCGTCAATTCTAAATATGATGATACATAAATGGATCAAAGTCTACAAGTAATAGTCACATAATTGAACGGCTGATATAATTATGCAGTTCAATCAATCGAAAAAACAAATTGATCTATTTGATAAAAAAAACAAGCTCAATTTTCTAGTCTTAACACTTGCTGTTCATTAAGCTATCTTTTGTCGAAGCTAAATAATAATACAATAATAAACTAATTAGTGTGCTTGTTTAGAATAAATAAAGTACAAGGTTCTATTTGGCGACATGTTTCATGTTATTGATTTAAATATAAGCATTCATCAGGACTTTGCATCGTAGTTTTTCAGCACTTTAGTACAAAAGGAAATACAAGAAAAAGAAAAAGAAAAAGAAACACATAACAAGGGATACCAAAAGGACATTCACAACATGAATTGAGTGCACATACAGATGTATTTTATGCATATGTATCACTTATATTATCACTCAATTTCGATAATAAAATATAAACTTGCAAGCGCATAGTAAACGCATTTCTTCTTAATTTTACTATTAGATTATACTCAGTTATAACCAAATAATTCAAAACCATTCTGCATTATGCATGTGTTGATTCTGGAAAAGAAAATAATTGAAAGTATTTAAAAACAAAACGATTCACTATTTTCTCTTTCGACATTAGTCAATACTGATGCATTTTCTTATGACTCTTATAAGAGCAATCAAAAAAATAATTACACATACACCCAATTGAATGGTAATAACTTTCATAGACATACGAGCATTGTTTAAAACACTGTTTTACATAATGAATAATCAAATAGATATTAAACATAATGAATATTTGTTTGTTAGTCGCCATGGCTAAGTAGCTACGTTGTTCGACACGTATCTGCAAGATACTGTGTTCAAACTACAGTATTAACAGCCATGAAACGACCTTGGACAAGTCATTCACGGTTCTTTGTCTTGGATGACCGGTCAGATAACATACTGACTATGTTGTGACTAGAATGTGTTCTACCCATATGTATGGATGGCTCAAGCAAGTAAACGAAAGAACTTAGTGTCAAGCTGACTTTTTGTTCAGAGCTACAGCTAGTCATAGCTGTAGGAATACTATCGGATTATTGAATCTGCTACTAGGAAGCACTTCATACTACGAGGTAGCTGAAAGACTAGGGTATTTCTTCTTCTTCTTCTAATGTGTCGGTTGGATTTATTAAAATAAGGAAAATAATAGCAGACAAAAAGAGTGTTACATAACTATAGCATCAGCTTCAATCTCAACGCGCATATCAGGATGAACAAAAGCATTGACTTGAACAAGTGTTGCAGGTACTCGAATGCCATAAGAATGGAAAGCTTCTTTGAATGCTCGACAAACTTCATCTTGATCAGCTATATCGATACTATAGAAATAAAAGAAAATATTCGATGATTGAAAATACATGTGTTAACTACAAACATAAACATTCGTACACGAACAACATCTGACACTTGAGCTCCCATGGTTAACAATGCAGCAGTAATACGTTCAAAGATGATTACAGCTTGGTGATATGTACTTTTAGGCTAAAGCGTATCATTTCATTATTTTTATTAATCATTGAAATTCAACTTACATAAAGAACTCCTTTTGTGATATCACTTGCTGTTGTACCAGCTATGATGACAAACGGTCCACGTCGAACAGCACGTGTGTGACCACATACTTCCTCCCATGGATTATTTGTACGTAATTCAAGACGACCTGGAAGCGTTTCAACAATAGTTCCAGCGCTCGATTGGTTGGATTTAGTTTCATCGGTTTCAAAATGAATAGTCTGAAATAAGATAAATGTTATTTTGGTACGTTATCAATAATTGATTTATCAAATATTTATTCTGACTAGTGATCAATGTGAATTTATAATGCAATTGTTCTTACCTTTACAGCGTCCACTTGTTTTTGTTCCTCTGTCATTTTATTATTCATAGTATGCACTGTAAGATAATTCTATACGAATATTATTTGCTTTTTTTTGTTTCGTATTTCTTATTATCTTCAGAATGAACTTATATTCTGTAGAATATATGATGAAAAAGTGAAGAAAAAAAAACGATCTAAATATACTGAGACGTCTATCATCAATTTAGCTAGGATTATAAATCTTCAGAAATAATCAGTTAAAAAAGTATGTTGAATAGTTATATGAGAAATTGCTGCAGCTGTTTTATCTTTATTCATGCTTCTTTCTCTTCTTCGAATCTACCCTCGATGAAAGTAGTGCCATAAAAAAAATAGAGATAAAGAATAATCTTACCCATACTCTTACTCTTTATATATAGACTTCTCTTAAGGTTTTTTTTATAACATGGAGAAGTTTATTGTTCCTTTAACAGATTAACAAGAAAATAACGTTAACAGTGTATTGTTTTCTGAAAAAATAAAGAGCAACTAATAGCATATTGAGTTTAATGAAATACAAATTATAGTCAATAAGTAGTAGAAATGTGAGAGATCATTATAGTGATCAGAGAAAAAAAGAAATGTTTGCTGGGACTATCCACTCTTAAGTGCAACAACTCCCTATGACGCCATCATTAATCAACCAGCTGATGTTAATTCTTGTGCATTTCTCTCTCTCCATTAAAAACAGGAAAACATGCATCATTCATTGAACAAATGATACCAATGGATACTTTAGATGTTGCTTGGTTTACAGGTAGTGAAGATTTATCAAACTGTTCTATTGCAATATTACTTTTAGAAATCGTATCATAACCATTTATTCCACATATCATTTCGAGTGAATGTATTAATTATTCAAATCAAAATCCAATGTTTTTCTCGAATAGTGAAACACAAATACGACATATATATCATTGATCAAAATACGAGAACAAAAGTGAAACGAGTTCTCAAATATGGTATATAGAAAGTAAAGAATGAAGCAAATATATTCTACAAAGCTATTTCTTTTTTGCAAAAAATCTGTTTAATCTATTATGTGTAATCTAATCAATTTCTGCATATTTCTGATACCAAACTAGATGATGTTGACTATTCATTCATACTTCGATGATCTTGAAGTGCATCAAAATGAACTCGTATCGATATAAATAGAACCCTTGATCTTATTCAACTAACAATGTTTTATTTGAATAATACTTCACCAGTGTAAGCATTTATTCTTAGTAAAAATACAGCATCAATATATTATGCTAACAATAATGGTGATGGATTAATTTGTACAACATCAAAACTCACATACTTGGCAAACAATAATGTAGGCATTGAAGCATATGTATTAAAAGTTGGAGCTTTAATTATCGCATTCAATAATCATAATGGTGCATGTGAACCAAGATCACCATTGAAAATCAAGTTTTCTTAGGATAATGGAATAATATGGCTGTGTCAAGAAAATATTCAAAGTCATGATAATGATGATAATAATAGTATATCAATCAGAGTGTTCATATCGTTGATTATTGCATAGCTTTTAGAATGGAGGTGATGATAATGATATTCATTTAGTATATACACATGATAGATAAACAATCAAATATGTTCAATCTAATCAAAAATGGGTTAAACACAGACAACAATTTATCAACATCGAAATAGACAGAGACTTGGTTTTTTTTTTATGTGAAAATTAAAGTATTAAAAGACTTTTCGAAGCTGTCTTGAAAACTAATTTTTGTTTTTTTCTAATAGTTTTCAACATGAATTAACATGAAGAAAGCAACTTACTCTGTTTTTATTATCATTTTGTACGATAACTATAATATGGTTTGAAATTCGTGCTGGTTCTGCAAAATAGGTTCGCTTTGGAGATAAAAAAAATGATGAAGAAGTTATGGAAACTCTTTTAGGATTAATTACTGTACGAGATAAAGTTATACGAAATGATAACAGACTTGTTTCGTCAAATGAATCTCATTTGAGGCGTAAATCACAAATTGATTCAAATAGAATTATCAATATTCAAATTGTTGAAAAACCATTACCTGTAAATTTCAATCCAGTTGTAGAAATTTCCGACATAAACGTACAGTCAAATCTTACTACAACAGGCATTATGCCCACTTCTCCAATCGAACAATGGACTTGTGAAGAAGTACAACAATGGCTTCATTTGCCACCATCTACTCTTCAGCTGTCATCTGGTCGAGCTTTGCTAACATATATGAAGTTATTATCACATGACGATGCACAATATGACGAATATGAACACCGAATGCGTCATCATGGTGTAAGTCGAAAGCAATTTTCTAATTTAATATCATCAATTGAATCTGTTTGTTCATTAAATGATACTAAAGCAACATCAAACGAATTACCTGATCAATGGACATGTAGCAAGATAAAATATATTGGTTTCAGCAAAATCATTTATCCGATAATTTATTAAATGCATTGGATTTTATCGATGGATCTCAACTTATTATGTATGGAAAATTAATTATTGATTCATCAACACGCATTGATCAGGAGTATGATCGATTGAGAGATAAAATTGGAAAAGATGTTTTTCATCTCGATGAATATAGTCGACTTTTGAGTGGTTTGAAAAAACTCGTCAATCAATCAAGATCAAAAGACGAACTTGCTTCATATAATATTCTGTAGTATGGTTTTGTAAAAAAAAATCCTTAATTTTACCCTATGATTGTCTTATATTTTCATCTTACTTGATGAACAAACTATCTTTAACTCGTATCATTAACAATCTAGTTCACATTAAAAAAGAATTTTTTCTTATCTCTTACGTCCTATAATAAATGAAAATTGAATATTTTGTATGTTTTTTTCTCAAGAAAAAAGTAGTGAAGTCTGTAAATTCTCTACACTGAGGAGTGAGAAGCAAAGATAAAAAGACGAAACTATTACGTTGTGATAGGCCTAATAAAAACGTAATATTACCATGATAATATTTCATAGCTTTTTGAACGCCGCTATCATCTTGACTTTATACTGGATTATTTTATTTATTCATTTAGCTCAATTGGTCATAATCTGACAAAGATATAATTTTAAGAAAAAAAAGATGCTTCAATCGCACAGGATTAACTTAAAGCATTGTAGTCTGCATTATACACATTTAAAACAAGGTTAAGAACACAATGGAATGGTCGTACGCAATATCTTTAAGCTCTAAATGGATGATAAAGATATAAAACTCTTCTGACAACTTGTGATGGCATCAAAATATCTGTTTTATTACTATTCGAAGCATAGTATCGGGTGTTTTTGAAAAATATAGTTGACACTGAAACAGATAATGAATGTTTAATCATTGCAAAATGAAAGAAATATATATCTCTATCATTTTATTGCTCATATGTATAATGAGCAGTTCAATAACAGAATATTTACGAGTGTTTTGAGAAAAACTAATATTTAGTAACAAGTTTTTTCAATAAAGCTATTCGAAAAATTTTATTCACAGTAATAGAACAAAAGCTTTTGGAATAGCTCAGTTCTGCTTAAAAAGAATTACTCATCGAAGTCGTTTCATAATGGAAGAAAATTTTCAACAGTTCTTAAACTGATTCGGTCTGAACAGAGCGATTCGCACATTCATCAATAGAATAATAATACAAAACGAACTCGAAAATTTTGTAAATTTCACGAACAAGTATCCTATTGATGAAAATATCTTTGCAAAAATAAGAAATAAATGAGTTCTTTGAGAATCGTTCAAACTAGCAATACTAAAGAAAAGAAGATGCTATTGAATATAAAGATATATTCGAGACTAATCAAATAAATAATTAACATAGTTAGGAATGGTATATGGTTTTCAAGCTTATATTGACTTTCATGATATTTAGAAATTACAGAATAATGAATAAGATACCAATGAAATTAGCAATACAGATCAAAATCAAGTATGGATTCAGCGGTTTTATTAAAGATGGTATGAAAACAATGAGTTACATCGTGTTGATATTCTGTTTTTTGATAACCTTTATGATATCACGTTCTCATTTAATGAACATACACTATAATGTTTATGGATATGAAAAAATTTAAATATGATTGTGAATCGAGAAAAGATCTTCACTCACACTCCGACCTATAGCTACCCCAAGTTTTACGCATACACTGATAATAAACTGTTTGTTTGTTTGACTTTATTTTCGTACGTTAATAGTTAGATTTCATATCTCAAGCACATAAACTATATAGTACTACTCAAGTAAGTAGCATGTCATCACTTTTCAGGTTAACAGTTTGTTGAAAAACATACTAATGTATCTTGAATTCTTGTGTGACTCTAATAGGAATGATCATGACGAATTACGTGATTTGTCTATTGTGAATTGATATATGCAAGATTTTATAGTAGACGAAAAGGGTGCATCGAATGATAAGTTAAAGAAAATGTATGGATGTGTTGAACTCTTGGCGGATTTTTTGTTCCGAATGCTAGTCCAAGGACACTATATTCTTCGATTTTTATGCTGATTTCCCGCTATTGAAATGTGCAGAATACTTGGTACTAGCAATCATCGCAATATAGCATGTCTTGGCATAGACACTTGTACGATCTTATGTTTGAAGTCTTAAAAATCTGTATTCTTTTGTCGTTGCTCATTTCAATAGTTTTCGACAACTCTCACTCGGATTGAATATATTAATGGTTCTGGATAAAAAACCATCTTTGAAATCGCTTCAAAGAATGTCTATCTGAAGGAAGTTTTTTGCCAACAACAATCACTATAATAGATATCATAGTCAACATCTAATGACAGAATGATGGGATTGTAAGGATTCAACAATCGAGCATGGTGTATTCGATGCATCGGTGCAGCGCATGAGATGATAACAGCTGATGACAAACTCCTATGCCAAGCATCCGACAGTTGTTTTCGATGAATGTCAGTTTCTGCAAGCAAAGTATTCAGACATTCAACAAGATTTTCATGAGACATTTTGAGTAGCTTGAAACTAACCTGAGGTATATCTGAACTTGTTTGGTTTGTATGACTTTTCGAAGTGAATTTGATAATAGTAGAAATATAAAAAACATCAAGATCAAAGAATAGAGTTCAAACAAACTGATCTTTTGTTACTAAGAGAGCATGTGTGTATGCTTGATTCTAGAATCGTCTCTATGATCGCCAAACAATTCCAAGGCCAATTCTATTTGCAAGCAACGTACCGAAACCATCCGTTGAATTATATAATAAATTATTAGATGATCAAAATCTACATGACGATGATATTCCAACCATTTCTCGACCAAATATGTCAAATTTCTAATGGCCGCAACACAGCATAGAAAATATAGCAGTTTTTTAATTACTTGGTGATCCTGCAGATTGTACCGTCCAATTGAGTTCACAAGTTTTGCTCGATTGATAATAGTTAGTTTGTCTTCAAACTCCAGATCGTTAGGAATAGAGCAGAGCAAAGCTTACTAATAATTGAAAAAAGTCGATTGTTTTTTGTCTCTTTTATCCTTGTTGTTCGATGATCCAATAAACCTAAGACAATTTCACATATATCCATAAACCCTTGACCAAAAAACCATATAAATCTAGGCGGTTCAAGTGCACCAGTGTAAATTAGTTCAATAGTGTCATTCCATTGAAAACTCACAAAAGTCTCATGAACTATTGACATATTTTCTAGTCATTCATGATTGTACGGACATTCAGCAATGGCAGAACATAGACTCATACAAAAATACATGATTACAACAATTATTCCAATAAATAATCCACAAAATATGAATGTTCTTATGCGAAGATTGTTCATTTTCCAATATGTGAACTCTAAAGAAAATCTTTGATGTTTTCGTTCTAGATCCATAACGAATCCAATCAGAATTCTTCAAGGATTCGATCTTTTTTCCTGAAGAAACGACTAAACCTTAAAAGAAGCGTGCAGCCATGAATTTCAAGATCCTTGAAAGATTTGAAATAGGATTCAATCAGGATCCTTAGTAGTTTACCCTTTTGTTTTTAACCGAGAGTCATTCACGAACAAATAGGTGTTTATGAGTATGTATGCGATTTCTTCTTATGTTAATTGACAGTTAGAGTCACTAATACATCGTTCTGTTGGATTCTTGTTAAGACCCTCGTGTGATTAAGCAACAATAATTGACAGGATCCTTATATAAGGGTCCAGATGCGATCTTGTCTAAAACTTGATGAAATCTCGAGAGAATCTTCTCTTTTGTTCCTCGATGATCTCGAGAAGGATCAAGATTGAATTTTTGTAGAATCCTGCATGCATGAGTTAGAAAAATCTGAACAGGAATCTGAGAAAGCCCTGATCAAGATCCTGTCTAACTTCGAAAAATTCTGAAGACAGGTATTATCAGGAATGAAGACAAGATCCAAGAAATCTAGAATTCAGACAGATCGTTCCAAGGTTTCTTAAGGAAAGAGCAGGACTGAGACTAGGGAACTTTCAAGCGATATCGCTGTATTTTGTTTTAATGATTCTGTTAGATTAGAATTGCAAGAATGCATTGTTATTTATCATAGTTTTCAAACTACTAGGTTCATAAGGCATCAATCATCAGAAGTAGTTGTTTGGATCCTCTTTATTAATGCTGGAAGATATACAAGAAAGTCTATCATATCAGAGTGAAATGGATTTTCAATCTTGAGTTTAGTCTCATGAGAGAAAAATATTCTTAGTGCAGTCCCATTAATGCTGAAACGTAGAAGCCAAAGCTTTTCTCTAACCTCATATCAACCTCCAAAAGATCATAGCTCTTCTCCAACAATTATGAATTCTCAGAAAACGCTATATCTTTTTTTATTTTTACATTTTGAACAGAAACTTTGTGTATTTTTTTGGCTGGTGCTCTTTTTTTTATTTGTCTTGTTATTATTAGCTTGGTATTTATTTTTTTTTGTTTTTTGCTTCATTTTCACAATTTATTATAAATCTACCCATTGATTTAATATACAAATAATCCTGTTTTATACATTCGTTATATCTACAATAGATCTAAATGATCCATCATGTATCTCGAAGAACTCAGAAACCCTGAAATTGATTATTAATGAAACAGAATTTGATCAGGTCATGCTTTTTTTTTATTGGTCGTATGATATTTGTGAGAAATCAACATATGCTTCTTGATATCTATCATAAAATTGTTTATCTGCGCAAAAATCTGACACTACGCTTCGTCGAATATGTAGGAACGTACTTCAACCATTAAAATTTAAAGAAAGTTTCTGAAATATTATAGAACCTCCTAAGCACTGCTCTTGATGTCGTTTAGCACTTTCTGTCTCGGTTACTAAGATTTATAATGGAAGGCTGGAGTGAGCAGATACGAAAATTTGACTTGAAACTCACATTCACTATTTTCTTTAAAAATATGCGTGCGTTCTATAGAAGAATATACTTACGTTGATGTTGCTAGTGAGCTAGCTT